ACTTTGTGAACAAACCCGAGGGTGGTGGATAAAACCGCTTCGTAATGCATCATTGTTGGTCCAAACAGCTGGAGATCAGTGCCACGTTCTCTTTGGAGAATGACTGTAGATATTACACCCACTCGTCTGTGTGATTCATTGTGTATTCAATCTCCATGTCCACAGATTCACTCAGTATTATTTGAACAGCTTTGAGTTTAATGGATGAAATCATAAAACTTTGATGTATTTGATTATCCCGTAGATTTTAAATGTATATACTGTTTAAGTTGGTGTTTTTACACAAATGAAGTTTTATTCTGAGTGCATTTTCCTTTGTTACAAATAGATTACATATGATTAGCGTTGTATTAGTTGACATGAAAACGCACTCTTTGATGCACTGTAAAGCAATGCAATCAGTACTGCCTTTGTGAACAACATTATTATTATTAACCCTCGGCTTTCATGCCTGTCAAATATTTTTAATTTACCTACAGTATATGGATATTCATTTTTATATCATTCAGTTAAATTAAACTTATTTACTTTTTTTTTTATCCAAGTATGTGAAGTGATGAGTGCCAGGATGTTTTTCTTATTTATTCACTGTTGAATACACACTTTCCTGGCTCACTGAGGGCTTTAGAACAGAGTAAATGAGGGACTTTGTACACATCCATTTTATACATTCTTCTATGGTTTGATACAAATGATAAATCCATGAAAATATCATCAACAGGCATTTGTTTAAAATGTAAAACACATTCTTCCAAATATTAGTAAAATCCCTGTATTGCTTTAACATCTACTACAACGCGCTGCTTTGTTCAATCATGTGACAATACTTTGATTACCTTCTTCTTGTCTTCTTTTGAATAAAATTGATAATTATGAATCATACGTTCATCAGTTACAGCACTAAACAAAGCCACATATGTTAAATAACATTTAATCTCTGAAGACATTGTTATACTGGAAACACTTTGATTTAGCTTCTCTTGTTTTGTCTCTGAATGTGGTGCTGTTGATGCTGAACACGGCTTAACTTCTTGTTTAAACTCATATATGTGTGTTTGAATTGTGTCCCTGCACATAAAACCTTATGATTACCTGTAAATGTGCAAACCTCTAATTTTCCTTGAGTTAAATAAGGGAATTCCAAAAAAAATGAGAAACTGACATTGTTTTTCTGTACTGTGATGATTTGCACTCTCTGTCGGGAGTGTTTTAGCTTAGCATGAGACTGAGAGAAGTTACTGCCACTACCTCTGTACACATTTGTATGTTCAGAAATCCTGCTGAGACTAAAATAAAGTTACTTCCAGTTACTCTCACATGCTTCTCCCTGTTCAATCATTCCTGGTAACTGATGTAAACATGTACAGATCCCTTCTGGACAGAATGAATACTAATTTAACCATTAATTTGTCTGCTATGGTTTTCCCACAAAAAGTTACATATTTTTAAATTAACATATGTATATGTCTAATTAATTTAGTTTTAGTTTTATTTATTTAGGTTAGTTTTCTACTTCTAATGTTCTAATCAACACCACTTAAATTGTCCTGCATTTTAAGTTTCAGCAGAATATACGTTTTAATAGATAACATTTCATTTTGAGAAATGTGTCCATTTGGAGATCATTTTAACTATTTTTTATTGCAATCATTTTGTGCTTTATTCTTAAAACAAGTAAATAAAATCTAGCGGTTTAGTAAGATTATTTAAATTTCTTTTCTGATGTTTCACTTGTTTTGAAAAACTTTTAGGACTCAATTTAAAACTTATGCACTTCTGTATTCCCACAATCCAAAATGAGAAATCTGAGAATAGTTTTAAACAATCACAGAAAATCAAAAAAGGTCAAAGAACAATAATTCTCTCATAAATCTAGTTGCATAGGAATGTGAAGTAAGTTTTAACTGAGATAACTTCATCAGTCCAGTGGGTGTTGCACACTGAGTTCATTCATCCTGTGATCAAATCTCTCTGGGTTCAAAGCAGCTGTGTCAATAGAAGCTCTTTATCTTTAATTTTGTGCTCAGGTTGTCAGTATTTTTCCTGCTGGAACATATGATGCATACGCATCCTGTGTTTGAGCCTGATCACTGCAGAGCTTTGACCTCCTTCAGTCTCCGGTGTAAAACAAAACAAAGTTCCCGGTGTCTGGTTAGCGGAAGCAGTTGGAAGTAATTGATTTGGCTTCACCTTGTCGAGATCTTTTTATACCTTGATATTAAAGTATTTTTCTGTGTTAAAAATAACACATCAACCTTTGATGTCATGTTTTAAAAACGGAGATGAAGACTTCCCAGTGTGAAAAGGTTCTTTACAATCTACAGCTGATTACAGCAGAACAAGGAGGTGAACAAACTGAGCTTTTCTTATTCACACCGGCCTGCTGGCTATTGTTGGCAGGGCATGACCTTCATTTGTTGCTATTCTGTGAGGAACAAACAAATCAACCTTTCGAGTGCGACAGTATTATCTCTCTCCCTCTTGTGTCAAGCCAAGCAGTAAACTCACTAAGGGGCTGCAGGCTGGTCCGCTTAAGAGGGGAAAGTCGTGTATGCTTAACAAGGTGATCATTCTTGGGATTCCTTTATGTGCTTGAGTGACTTCAACCAGAGAGGCTGCAGGGAAATAAAGGGGCGAGCAGCTGAGAGAGAGGGAACTGTGAGAGTCTTTCGAATGCACAAGGAGCTCTATTTCCGCGTTCTTAATAAGAAACATTCAAGTATAACAAGTCTTACAAGGATCCAAAAACAACTGGCTGTTAAATGTAAGTGGACATAAAAACTACAAAACGGCCTGCGCTCATTTCTGTTGTCATGCTGCCCCCTGGCTGTAACAAAGCTACTAGGTTCAACAGTTTTGATTGACTCCGTTTCCATGTGTACAGCATTAATAATGACGTGGTGAGTGGGGGTGGAGGCTGTTTTTTTCCCCAGACCTCTGCAACCCCTGAAGGGACATAAAGGGGGGAGTCTGTCTCCCACTCAAACGATACTTAACTCCCAAATACTGACATCTTGAGGATGAATAGGGATTGTATTCTCAAATCTCATTTGTAGATCAACACCAAAACAAGTTCTGTTGAGTTTTTGTGTTAAGTAATACAAGTAATGCTGCTCAGGTTCTGTACAGTGACACCGAGGTAAACATCTGTGAGACGCCCCAGGCCGTCAATAACTACAGCGGGACAAACCTGCTTTCAGACCCTGAGGGCTTTGAGTCACTCTCATGGATCTCAGCTGTTATGATCAACACAGTTTTTATATGTGTATCGTATTCAGCGGATTCCATTGTTTTTAGACACATTCAAAGATTTTTTTTTTTATCCTTCAAAGAGCTTGCATATTCAGCCTGTAACATTGTACTAACTTTATCTCTTTGGCTAACAGAACTTTTTGAACAACCCTTATATCAATGAAAGGCAGCTACAACAGTCTGATGCTTTTTAAGGTTTGCACATATTTCTTAATACAGTGCAGCATTGTGAACAAACAGCTCATTGTCTGTTCTGACAAGAACTCTGAAACACAAGTCAACAGAAATGTGAACTGACAACATTATTGTCATTGGTTTCAACAATAAAATCCTGCAGCCAGCCGAGGAGAGAAGATCCAGCCCATGCGACGTCATTCGCAGCAACAAACAACACAACATTGTAGGTGTGGATTTCCTGTTTTATTTAGTTTTTCCCTGCCTCTCGTCTCCTGTCACTTCCACCCATGATGTGTTTCCTGCCTCGTCCCTGATTGTGTCCTCCTGTGTCTAATTACCTGCACCGCTCCAGTGGATGCAAACCACGTGTGTCTCCTGTCTCATTGTCGGCTTGTCCGTGGTGTGTCCTGTTGGTCGACCCGCCCGGCTCGAGCAAGTAGCAGCAATACTTGCTCTGTTCTGTCCGGCTGCTTTGTTGGCATGTTCCCCGCTATCCTGCACGTATCCCTCCAGCTTGTTGTTCCTTATTATCCGGATTGTGTTTTTTGTTTTACACCTCTGTTTTGTTACTCATTTGTGGACTGTTCTCCCTGTTAGTTAGTTCTGTTTGTTTTTGGACTATTAAAATCCCCCTCCCTCTTTTCCGCGGGTCTCTCTGCATGTGGGTCCTCCCCCACAAACACCCGTGATGCTGGTTTGTTGGGCCGGCCCTCTGGAAATAATCTGATACTGAATACAGATCTGTTCACAAAAGAAGCGAGAGCGCCATGAGGACTGCACCTGAATACAGGATGCATTTATTGGTCAAAGACCTATTGATATATATATAGCGGTATATATATAGATAAAAGTTGATATTTGTTCCAAAATAATGTAGAAACAACGGTTGCTTGGCAACTTCAGCCATTGAAGTTGACTCTCCATTCCTCTGTGACTCCATGTGTCTCTAGTTTCACTTAAAAGGGAGTGACTGCAGTCCTTCACACAAGGAATGTGATCTGGCTGTTATGATGATTGTCTTTCTGTTCCTTAAAAATAGTTGACACGAAGTACAACTAATGAGCGTACATTAGTCAAGTCAAACTGGTTGGGCGTGGTTGTGAGGCAGAGACAATTTTGTTGGCTGCGTTGTGCAGATTAAGCAGCTCCTGTACTACAAGACACCTCCTATACTTTTACTGTGAAATTATTATTTCACACTCTATTTAATCGGAAGGAGAACTTGCAGCATTGATGGAAGACATATTCAAAGCACCAAGACAACACCACACAAATACTCTATTACAACCGACAGCCCTGGAAGTTTCTACTTAATTGTACCGGCTACAATGAAATGCAATGGACTAAATGTTCAAAATACTATAAGCTCAACTAAAGTAAAAAATACCTTCAACTAGTCGTTGAGCATTAATAAGACTTTGAGATCCTGCTTACAATCATTACCGGTGTCGAACTGTAAGCACCTGCTTCTTTTATTAGCCTTCAGGGCTCTACCTGTAGCTACCCAGCCCAGGACAGAGGCCCCTCCCTGTGAAAGTCCTGCTCTCGGGGGCAGGAGACACAGACCAGGGAGGCAACTGAAATGTGGCCCGGCAGGTCTGATGGGAATGCAGAGACCGAGAGACAGACAGAGAATGAGAGAAAGAGGCAGGGAGGTTGCAAATAGTGGAACAAGTCGGTCAACCAGGGTGGAGTTCGAAGCAGTCTGGCTGGAATTAAGAGAACGACACGGTTGTGTTTTCATTGCTGAGTGTGGGACCGGACACCGGATCATTTCGCAGACGAAGAGGGAACCTTTACTCCTGCTAACACCAGACTTTAGAGATTGGAATTTCCCTCCTCTTCCCTGGCTGGAGCCGGGGGGCAGATGGTCGAATAGAGAGTCTCAGCAGAACTCAGGAAGGAGCAGCGAGAGGAAAGGGGGGGTGGGGAGGAGGGTTGGGGAGCTGAAAGGGAGAGAGCCGCGGAGTGGACAGAAGAGGAGACATGTTTCGCTACGGTTCAGGACAAAGTGTTTCCACCACCACTACAACAGAGGGCTCTGCAGACTTCCCAAGTCAGGTGAGAAGTCCCTGATGAGTCAGGACGCTGAAAGCCTCCTTTGGTCTCCCCCCTTTTCCTCCTCCCTTCTCCTCTGTGTTTTGCAAACAGTCCGGGTTTTTTTTCCTTCTCCCTCTGCTGTTTGTCCCCAGTTTCCTGGTATTTGCCTTTTATTTCTTTTCTGTAAACAGTGAGTTACATCTTCTCAATCCCAACTAGCATTCGCTGTTCCCTGAACATCAAATAGTTTGTTATAGGATGTCTCACTTGCGAGCGCACGTAATGTGAGCTGGGTGTGCGGGAGGCAGGGCTGTCATGTTTATTTGAACAGCTCTCTGATGAAACAGGCCTTTGTATTAAACAGGCCTTTAAACTTATTGCCATTGTTTTCTGATGAAGACGGGAACATATTATGATGTAGTAAACAGAGTTTGAATGTGGTCACTGCAGCTTCTTTTTGCGTGTTGACCAAACAAAGCTCTCATTGTGGTGTAGTTTTTACAATCTATCCGTAAGCAGGGGTTTGGAGCATTTACATACACTTTGTTTGCAGTTCCCTTTTCATTGATTATAAATAATTATAAAAACTATTTTCTACGTAGGTTTCAGTGATGTTTCAGTTTTTTCTCATTTTCTCACGATGACATAATGCAAACATATAGTTGTTTGCAGAACCCACTTTAATTTGCTTTTTGTTTGTTTGTTTTTCTCAGAGGGGGATCCAACGCCTCCGGTTAACTCTACATCCAGAAGATAATGGACACGAGGACAAACAAACAACAAACTCAGACACAGTGAGTTGTGTATATCTCCCTCATTGAACTTCTACAATTGACCATGCTGCGTCCTGACTTACTACAAAGCACTGCAAAATTAAAGGTTTATTCAAAAAAGAGTTAACTTAAACCACAGTCACCGGTATACTCTCAAATTATAATACAGATGAAAAAAAATAGTAAAACCACCGAGTATGTATACGTATTTTTTCATCTGAACAAGTTACACAATCATGACAGATAGAGCATGTGTGTGTGTGTGTGTGTCTGTGTCTTAGAATGCACGAAGCTGTTTCGCATTTACTTCAAAGCTAAAGTCCAACCATGTGTTAGAAATCTATTTCATGCGATAGAGAATATTTGAAATGAACGCACAATATATTTCATATCACGACTGGAACATCTGAGACACATTATGAAGTGAAACGCTGCCGATAAACCTGCTGCAGTGCGCGAGTCATTGGGCGCAGCCTTCATGTCAGCTCACATTGGGTGGACTGTGTTTGTGAGTTAAGCAGCAGGCCGTGTGGCTGTTTGCTGTGGGTGTCTCTGCCCCTGCCTTTGTTTGCAGTCCACAGGTCAGAGATTGACAGAGAGAGAGTGTGTGTGTGAGAACTGATTATGACACTTTGCTAAATGTTGGCATTGGGAGGGTTTCTTGACCTTGATGTACTGAATCCTTACGGAGCGCTAGAGTGGTACGTTCGTTTGAACCTTGGACGGGGAGCGCGGTCCTCGTCTAGTTACCCCACCCCCACGCGCTCCACTGATACCACAATCTCTGAATGCGCTTCCTTTTGAGAGCGTGGGACCATAACTATTGAAACTGATGAGAGAGTGAGCATGGAGGGGGGTAACGGCCATGTGCTCGATGATATCACGTTCTTCAGTGTGTGTTTAGTGACGGCACAGCTCATTCTGCACATCGGGAGCTTTGACAGCAGCGTGGAAATCTCTGTTTTCCTTTTTTTAACAATAACAACCTGAGACCTGAAGTTCAAGGAAATTGTTAGGGAAGAAATGGCCTTGTAGGAATAATTACATTATGGGAAATACTTATTTAGCCAAAAAGTGGCACAAAGACAGGTTAAAAGTAACAGAATCTGCCGACCAGCATCTCTACAGGTTACTAATCATTCTTTTTAATCTTGTTTGTTTAATACTTGCAAAAACTAGACTGCTGAATTTGCATATAGTTATGTGTAATTAATATGATGATTGTTGACTCAGGGCAGGTCCAAACTGGCGGTTTCACTTTTACTAGGCTCTATGCTAAGCTAAGCTAACCAGCTGCCAGCGGTCTAAGAATCGAAAAGAAAGGCAATGGGTGGAATTCCCAAAAAGACCATTTACACGACTTCTCCAAAGGTCCAAAGGATTCCAGAAACACACAATTGTAATCATGCTGGTTCCCAAAACAAAAATGTTAGAAGTTAAGAACTCACTTCTGTGTTCTCTCCGTGTGATCATTATGTATTCATGTTGTAACTTCGTAACTATGTTGTTATTGCACAACGTTCAAAAGCGACACAACAGGGATGATTCAACGGTCCTCTTTTTTAATCTGTCTTTTTACATATTGCTGTCCTTTCTTGTTGTTTTAACAAATGTCCATTTTATTTGCTCAAACTTGCATTTTTGATATTGTCTAGAGGTAACGTCAAGGTGCATTATTTGAGTGTGTTTTTTTGTGACATTTGAGTCCTTCTTAATGTGGTCATGAGGCAAAGCAGTCAGATATTGGCATTGTCAAATTCAGAGTTTAAGTGACAGCACAAAGAGCACTGCTATTCTGAGTTGTAGTGTTGGAAACACATAAACATGGCTGTACTTATCTCCCATCTATTGAAATTCCTATCCGCCTAAAAGCACCATCACCATTCCTCAACAACACGTTCTCTTTAAATGAAGAGGTGAAGAAATATGAGGCATGGCGCCATCAACAAAACAACACTGGAGTCTTTGTTTTAGCTCCTCTTCACTATTGTCTCTGAGAGACTGACACCGATCTATCTATCTATCTATCTAACAGAACTGGTGGAACAGTTACCTAGAAGGCCAAATAACATTGTTGACATTGTTGCACTGACAAATGAACAAACTCAGTTAATAAACTACTGAATACTTCTCTGCACACCCACACGCATAGAAATAAATTCTGAATTCTGAATATTTGACGACCAATTCTAAGTTAAACTAAACTACATGGAGACTTGATTCCCTAGACAAACAATGTAATACACACACAGTAGAAAATTATGCAAAAAATTCCAAAGCAGCTTGCATTGAGACGTGAACAAGCACAATGACAATTATAATGAGTAGAGTGAATTATTGCAACATAAACATTGCTAATAAGAAGGTCTGTCAGTGCTCAAGAATATTTACACTACATAATAACAGATATTTCAAGCATTTGTGTGAATGTTGTATCATTGTTTTTTCTCTCTCCCTGTAGCCTGAGAAAGAGAAGGATGCCAATGTGCTATGGAAGAAGAAGAAGAAGAAGAATGGGCTGATCCAGAGAGAGAGGCCTGCTGGCAGGGAGTCACCTCAGCAGGTAGACGGCCACATTCAACACATGAATAAAAGGCACAACACTGCCACCGCTTCAGCGTGTGTGTCACTGACTTCATTCTGTAAAAAACACCTTTCTGTGCATGCACCTTAAGGTTGTCAATTACAATGTATTCACAGATATTGAACATGAGCATATGCCTGCTGATCATTATAACCACTTCTGTCTACCTGTGTAGAGATCATTCTTTCTTGTCTCCAGGCAAAACATTTAGCCTCTTTAACTAAAGTACTAAAATATATAGGCCCTATATTAAAAAGAAATCTCTTTTTTTGTTGTGTAATTTTATTGGTGCCCAGGACTATAACTGTCATAAGTATTTAGTGCACTGTTTAAAAGGCCACACATTTTCTCGCCTGCATCAGCCGCCGGGTTGCTACACAGCAGCTCATTTACTGGGTTGCAGAAACATGACACCTTCGATACACCCTGTACTCTTTTTTTAAACGGGTTGTTCCCAGTCTCCTCTTCCAGTGCTTTGAAACAGTAGTACTGAAAATACTTCTTCAAGCGCACATAGGCAGGCATGTGCATCAACGCACAGACACAACAATCATGTGGTTACACTTGAAAATGTCCATTTGTGCAAATGGTAAGCAAAGATATGAATACACGCAGTAGAAGTCAACCTCAGTAGAGGGTGGCTGCAGAAACCTGACCGGTGTGATCTTGTCTCCCTCAGCACCTCAGAGACATGACCAATGGGGCTCCAGAGACTGCGCACGAGAATCATGGGCCCAACGTGTACGGCGTAGTGCAGAGGATGGGGTCGGACAGACAGCAGGAGGTGATGGCGCGAGAGTGGACATCCAATCAACTTCAGGATGAGATGAAGTACATCAGGGAGGTGAGTGGAAACTTACAAACAGTCCGTTCTTTAGGGCAGCACATCATCTATGCAAGGCTGTGTGGCATGTAGTGGGGATAAATATCTGCATGGTTTGTGTATGCAGGTGAGAAATTCGTTGGAGAAGGTGAGAGAGCGGATGTATGGCCAGTTCGGAGGAATGCAGCAATCAATGCAAAAGCTTTCACAGGAAATCAAGGTAATTAACTACACGGTGTGTTGCCGATTCCCTAAAAAGTTCATTCTGTGAAGCTGTGAATACATGTGAAAATTCAATGCGCCGTGTGTGTATGCAGTCTGCAAATTCCCATCGGAGGAGTCTAGAGTCAGAGGTGAGGATCCGGACGACAGCCATGGACAGCTTCGATCAGATGAACAGCTCCCTCATATCCGCTAACATTGGCCTGCAGGTAACAGATCAATAGGACTGAGTGTGTGAAGACCTGCTCCGTGACTGCTGCATGCCATCAAAGAGAGGTCCTGCTTGATAACTAAAAGAAGGTTCCTTTGCAGAAATCTCTACTGGAGAACTGTCAGAAAAGAGTGGACACGAGAGACGAGGTGAAGAATTTGCGAAGCACCTGTAACAAAACACAAGAACAACTAAGAGAAAAGGAGAAAGAGCTGCAGGCCACGCAGATTGAAAATCAGACTCTAAAACTGCAGGTAATTCCGTCTCTTCAACCTCATTCATACAAAACATTACAGTGAGAACAACAGCACTGGCAGATTTATTGAGCTATCGGCCACCTAGCGGCTGTAACCTGTTCTTATGAGTTAGTGACAGTGGAGAGGGTCAAGATGTGCGCTTGCTTTCCATTTGACAGCAAACAACAAACATGTATGAGGCTCAGAGGACAAAGCAGAGCGCTGTGATCTAGCTGATTTGTTGACAGATCAACTCACTGTAGCACACTACACACGCCAGCTTCATCTTCTGTTCTACTGTCAGTATGGAATGATCCATTTTTGCTGTGTTGTGGACTTTCTAGGTGGAGTCTGCACGAGAGGCCAACAATCGGGCGCTGCAGGAGCTTTCAGCAAAGCTAAAGCAGGAGTACGAGGAGAAGCTGCAGCAGGAGCAACAGAAACACAGGGAGGAGATTGAAAACCTACAGGTCCGCATTTCTTTAATTCTTATTCAAGTAAACACATAACGTATCAGTGCCAACAAATACTATTGTTTGTTTTTCATAAGAACGGGATGAATGTGTGATGATTAGGTGACGCATTTTGACACAAAGATTGTGATGCAGAGAAAGGTCTCTGTAGAGAAAATGTATTCTAACCGACAAAAATGCAGATGTTTCGTTCAGAGTGGTAGTTCTCAAGATCGCTCTTGGTCTCAAGACCACATCTCCACACCTCGGTCTTAAGCAAAGAGGACTCTCAAGTCCACATCTGTGGGGTGATCACTAAACCGCTTGCGCTTTGTCTGATTAATATCTTTGTTGTGATTGCTTATAAACAACACAGAAAATCCACCTGCAGTGCCCTTTAACTACTTAAACAATATATTTATTGTATACATACACACAAATACAGTATAAATGGAGTAAATAGGAATTGTGTATGTATTCTATTGGTGTTTTATGAGAATGTGGATCTTTCAGATTCATTTCAGGAACGTCAACTTGGTTTGCATGTGTTTTTTATCGTAAGCGTGTCATACGGAGTGGGTTTTGCACCACAACACTAAAACCCCACAACACTGACGTTTGACGGGCCGTTTAATAAGCAGTCTAACATCTAATTCCAAAATGTATGTCTGCTCTCACAGGCCCAGTTGGATGAGTACATCAGGCGACTGGAGGAAGCCGAAAAAAACATCAGAATCGCAGAGGCCAAGATTGCAGAGAGGGACCAGAGGATCGTTGAATTGGAGCGCCTACTGGGCTGCATGGAAAAGGTAAGACAATATTTTGACATGAAAAAGATGTATCTACATTTGTTATAGATTTACAAATAAGTACAATGAAAACATATTTTCACAGGAAAAGAGTCAACTCTACGAGAGGCTACAGAAACTTGAACAGCGTCTCCGCTTGATGGAGCAGACAGACACAACTGATGCAACCGAAGTCAAAAGGTACAAAACCAATTTACACATTTACAAACACTAGTGGTATGAATCCCAGCTCAAGCTTAATTTCCTAGCTTTGTAATGCCTCAACGTTTAAATCTGAGAACTATATGGCACAGTCTCAAATGAGCAATTGAGCAGTAGAAATGCAACTTCAGCGTGATATTAAATGACACCAAAACATACAAAGTACTAATGAGAAACACTAGTAATGTCTGAGCTTATTAATACTGCACATTTACAGAAAAGATAAAGACCCCTGTCACCAGCATGGTGGATTTATGTGTGGGTGTAACTGCTTACTGGTCCTGCTTAGGTCCAAAGAGCTGAAATCGGAGTCTGTGGATCTCCGTGAAAGAATCAAACACTTGAACGACATGGTGTTCTGCCAGCAGAGGAAAGTCAAAGGAATGATCGAGGAGGTGAGGAGAGTTCATTTTCCCGCGGTGCCTCTGTTCTTTGCTTTGATAATGTGTGTGGATGCGGTGCAATGTCAGCTGAAGTAGAGGAGGTTTGTTTACCAACCAGAGTTTGGACGAGGAAGATAAAGCAGAACCAAAGTCGATAATGGGGGGAGCGATTTGCAGGCCATTTCAATACGTTCTAATGAACTGCTAATGCCACTTAGAAAGTCAAGCAACTATCTCAAATGTGTCAACATGATAAATGTTGACACATTTCAATGATAAATGAATAACAATGAATACTAATTGGTTTAAATGCTATTTTGCCATATAGTTAGATCCAAATCACAAGAAAAGGATTGAGAAACCATACCAAAAGTCTTATTGGAAACACATGACAATTGTTTTCAATCTTTAACGTGTGAAGGTTCAATCGCTGCGAGCTCAAGTTGCTCAGAAGGACCTCTTCATCTCAGATCTTCTGGACAGAATCGCAATTGTAGAGTGTGAGGTAAGACGAATCCTTCACTGTGTGTTCCCTGTGTGTTTTTCGTTTTGGTGTGGTGAGCTATCGATGTGTGCTATGTGTCTGTGTGGTCTCCTGACGTCACTGCGCCCACACTGTCAATTTGACATGTCTAGTGACTGCGGTTCTTTGCATGTACCTAGGCTGACAGCGCTGTTTCCTGTTTCTTCTTTCCCAGAATAATGAATTAGAAGACAAGCTGAAGTATTTTATGTCCACACAGAACAGCACACGAGGGGTTTTGGAAACCAGTGAGATAGGAGTAGGCTGCGATGTGCTCCCTAGGTAAGAAGCAACGTCAGAGCAACATTTTGAGGATAATCAGGTTACATTTAGCGCTCCATATATTCATAGTGTCTTATTCTAATGTCTGACTGTACATCTGCAGACATGAAGCAAAAGGGCATGATGTTGAACCTCCTGTTCCCTCTGAACCAACTCATCCCCATCCCATTCAACATCCTCCACCTGTTCAACCACCACCATCAATGAAATCTCCACCACCCACTCTACCTTCATCAGCGACTCTACCCGTATCACCCACTCCACCTTCATCCCAAACACAACCTCTCACTCCGATGCAACCTTCATCCCCAACACAATCTCCATCCGCCAATCTACCTTCTCCCACTGCTATAGCTGAATCACCCACTCTACCTCCATCCCCAACACAACCTTCAAACCCCACTTATCTTTCATCCCCCACATCTCGCCAGCAACATCCATACTACGCCCTAACAAAGCCTTCCCAACCAAGGACATTCACGTCAAATAATCTTCCGCCAAGTAGGCTGGAGTCCAGTTTACTAAGGTACACTCCCGGCGAGTACAGCCGCTTCCTGCAGCACAGCTCCTCAGTGCCGGGTGGGTTGTACCCGTACACGCGCCCGTCTGATTCTGAGCCCCCCGTGAGTCCAGTCCAGTCCGGCAGAGATGAGTTGGACACAGAAACTTCTCTACTGTCTTCTGGACCGAGATCAAGAGCCCCTCAAGTTGAAACACCGTTCATGAAACTTCTGCAAACAACAAAAAAGATCGACATAGACTGATCTTGAGGTAAAAGTTCAACATTTCAGGGAAAACATTTATTTCTTCTCGAGAGTTGATTGAGAACTGACACCACTTACATTTTTTTATGTTACCGCGATGATACAGAGAGCAGCTGGTTAGCTTAGCCTAGCTTAGCATGAAGACCAATAACAGAGAGCTAGCCTGCAGGTGTCAATCAACAAAACAAAGGGAAATACCCCATCAGCCCGACCTATTGCATTAAATCATCTAAGAAGCAGCTTGTTGAGGTATTTTGGGGTTGCAAATTGTTTTGTCAGGAAAGATAAGGGCTACGCAACATTATAAGAAGCAGCTTGCTAACTGCAACCCAAGGGCAGTGGAGGCAACAGGAGGGAGTGAATCTACGGTGCACTTTTCACTACTTTTCACTTCCCTGTGAACCGTCGCCAGAAGCAATGCATCGCCTCTCTATCGTACAGGGGTCATGGGAGCGACTGTGAATAGTGGTATGCCGTTCAAGACAAAGTCTGTTCGAGAAAAACCCCATCAAATGGCAAATTGACGTTTTTGCTCTATTATACATGCTGGTAGATGAATTTTAATACATATTTACAGTCATTGCGCTTAACTTAGCATGGAGTTAATATGTACGTCATGACTGCACAGTTCTATGTTTCTGTAGTTAAGTGCAGCTACATATTTGCTATATTTAGTGGAATTCATGCTTTCCTCTTAAGAAAACAAAGAAGCGTGATTCCTAAAATGTTGAACAAGTTGTTTAAACTCACTTGTCTATTATAATTTCCCCTCTGAGTTCTGTTTTCAAAACTCGCCATTCATGACATACTTAGTTATTTCACTATCACGTTTGACTCAATGATGTAAAAAGTCTTATGTAGGATTTTCAGCCCATATTTGGGTGTAGCACATAAAATGGTGCTTGTTGTAGGATGTAAATAATCTGATCTCTTGCTCTGTAAAAATATTTTGTAAGTACTGTACTGCAAGATTGTTTCTTTCACACTGTATGTAGCCTAACTATGTTCCTCAAAGAGCTCTGAGCATTCAGTCCTACATGAAGGTTGATGCAGTTATTATCTTCTTGTTCATACAATTATAGAATAGCAATGCACAAATTAAATTAATATCATTTAGTCTTTGTTTTTCGTTATGTACAAGATATTTATTAACATGCTTTGTGCCTTTGTGAACGGCCTACTATCTAATACTGGGGGTGGGATGCATCACTTTGAATTAGCAAGAGGGTAATATAGTAATATGATGTTAATTCAATGGCTGTGCTGAAGTTAAGATTTTAAGTCACTTTAAAGACATTTACCTTATTTAGGTGACTGCTATTCCTGAGCCACAGGAAAAAGTATTATCCAGCTGTTATCCGCACTGCCAGAACTGTGTTTAAAAAAGCATTATGATGTGCTTTTTTCTCAACGATACACATCATACTGAAACTAATGATGAGAGGCCATCGTATGTTTGGATAATTTAGATTTTATTGTATAATAAAATCACGCATCCTGATTGTGCCAGCACTTTCACACTGTACACCCTCGTATTTTCTTTTTAAAGCTGAAAGGTTTGACTCCCTAATTGTTCTTTGAAGCTGATAACTCCGTCATAGCTTGGTAGAGACACAAAAGAGGCTTTAAAATATATATATATATATATATATATATATATATATATATATATATATATATATATATATATATATATATATAGGTCTGCATAGTGGACAGATTCAAGATACTTTATTGTAAATTCTGAAAAAGTCTCCAAAGCCGTAAGTAGTGAATTAAAACAACTGGGTAAGATATCATTTAAAAGACTTCTAAATCTAAAGTGAAGTGTGCATTAGGTGATATACCAGTAAAGTACACGAAAAATCACAGCACGTGATACACCTGTTTTGATTAGTTTGTGGGACTCTGATATGAAAAGAAGATTATAGGTTAACTTAGAAAAAACAAAAAAATATAAGAAAGGCGTCAATGTTTTACAGTGCACTGTATGGTTGTGATCTGACTTGGTGCAAACACAAACATTGGTATAATATAGCTTTTTATAAATATATATATAGTTACTTCCCCAAACTGTGCGGCTGTAGCCAAATGCTGAACTCACCTTGAACTGTGAGAGGGTATTATGTGGACTCCGATGGGACATTCTGGTTGTTGGGTCATTGTTTGTTGCAATCAATGAGAGATTGGTTGTCACAGCGGTCGGAAAATTTCCGGGAAATAGGAAAAGCAGGCGTGGAAAATCTGAGAGCCTAAGGTCTGCTCAGACTGACTGCACTTACTGGCTGCTACTGACTGTGTTTGGCCTGTAGAGGGCAGCAAATCACCTTGACTGTCAGTGACACGAAGAAGAGGTGCAGCCCCACTCTCCCCACAGGAGAGGCGCTAGATCTCCACCTGCTGGATTTCCACACACGAAGAAGAAGAATCCCACTTCGCAGTGTTGTTGTCTCTTGTATGGAAGAAGTGAACCCGCCGTCTTCTGAGTTCTCTGACGTTAAATCTCTCCACTTTGTCCCAGAGTCCACTTAATGGGTGGACTTTTAAAGTGGTCAAAGATTAATTGCAGTTCGTATGAACTTTTTAAAACTGCGACGTCAGCGCACGCGGTGTGTGAATGGCTGTAGCTAGCAGCTAGCTGTCACCCGCTAATAGTGATGTCCTCATCGTGGACAGGGCGCCAGGGACAGGTGGGACACCTGAGGACCCAGAGCAAAGATGAGCTCCAAGAACTTATCCTGCGACAGGAGAAGATGCTCTCTAACAAGTGAGTTTACACTTCTAGCCCCCCGGTGTTTATGCTGTATGGTGCTTAAGATCAGTAACCGCGTGACCTCAGTAAATTAAGTTTCATCTACTTTCAGTGGCAGCAGAGAGGTGGCGACCTAAGGAGACGAAACGAGTTTGACTAGTTGTAATGAAAACTGTTGGTCTCATGGTTTTGGCATAACTATATCTTAATTATGGGTTGGTGGTTAGAAGTGGGCGCGTTACAAATAAGACTAAAACATGAGTGCTGGTCTGTTTGTCTCACATCTGTATCTTGAATGATTATTTTGATATTATCATCCAATGATGCATTTGTGTTGTTTGCAGGAGGTTTTTACAGAGCCTTCCAGACAAAGGCAAAAAGATAAAAGAATTTGCAGAGAAATTGCGCCAGGCCATTGATGACCACAACGAAGAGGAGAGGAGACAGAGTTTTGACTCTGTTGCCAGGACGCAGTTACAGACTAAGTATCAGCAGGCTTTCCTTTTGCAACAACGGGCCATCCCCAACTCACCAACAGCCTCGCAGCCAAACAGGCAAAGTGAGGCTGCTGCAGGGGATGCGGTACCTGTCTCCGCTCATAGGCTGGAGAATACTTCGGATGAGCAACAGGACCAGTCCGTCTCCCGCGCAGCTGCTGGTGAAACCATAGAGATGGCCGCTGCTGGGGCCTCTTTGAACTCTGATGAGACAAAAGAGGATGACCTTGTGGAGGCCTTGGGCAGGGTGAAACTGTCTGAAACTAGTTCTGGTTTCATTACCGAGTCCAAAGACCCGTTGAACAGCACAGCAAGAGACAATTACTTTCTCGTAAAGGAAGGACCCAAAACGCCCCACTATGTAACAGTCCTGGAAAGAACGGAGAAGACTTCAGCACGCGGGAAGCTAAAATTCAAACCAAATCAGTAAGTGGACTTGTACTACACTACAATGTAGATTCAATTTAGCTTTATCACAGTTGCTATTGTGACTAACATTTTGTCACCCGTGTTTCCAGGCTGCCTCACAGAAGTGACGTCTCTCCCTCAGGATCCTCGTCACCCAGCCGGTCTTCTGAAGGTTCATCGCCTCTGTCTGCACAGGCCAGGAAGGAGCGGGACAGAAAACACCTGGATGACATCACTGCAGCCAATCCCCCTCCTCTCCACCATAGTCCGGCCCAGCTTCTGTCTCTGGAAGAGTCGGCCGACCTCCTGATGGAACAATTCAAAAAGGAACATGTTAGTGCAGTCGAGTCCACACACACACAACACACTTGTCTTATGTCTCATCCAGTGTAAACATTAAACTACAGGCAGAGATCAGATCAGGGTCAGACATTTAAATATATCAATGTAATTATACTATTTTTTTAATATGAGAATATATATTATAAATGTAATACGGTGTTGTCTTTTCCTTGATTCTAAAGGCTGCAGGTGATGTATAAATCTTTAGACTAGCTGTGCTATTAGTTGCCTTTACCCACATGGTCATTGAATCCAGATGATTCATTGTTATTAAAAATCATTATATTAATATTTAATAAAATTACCAGTAGTAAACCTTACATGACCGCCCCAATATCAATATTGAAATGTTTGGTCCACAATATTGTGATATGATTCACTCCATATCACCCAACTCTCCTTTAAATGAAGTTTCTCACTATGCTGTGTGGTATAATGTTGAGGGAAGAGTATTTAAATGCCTTCTGAACACAGCTCTGTGTTACGAAAAATATACATGGCATTGTGATCCAAGACATTTAGATTGAGTAACCGAGGAAAAAAGAATAAACGCTAAACAATAAATAAATCCGAATCATCTATCTTGGTCAAATATGAGTGGGCATACAAATAATTTCACTGTTTATTTTATTCAGGATGTTACTCTGTGACTCTGGTCTTGTCTGACACATTTTATCTACTGTAGGAATGTATACATATGAGCTAAAACAAATGGAGCTTACTCAATGGTGCCTTTTGGCATTTTTGTCATCTAATCAGATGGAGAATTAATTTATTTCCAGAATGAACTGCGTGAAAGTCCCCGATCAGACCCCTCCATCATCTCTAGAGGGCAGTGTTCCGGCAGTGTAGGAGCTGTTTATTCCTTCACATCCAAAGAAATGACTTCAGAGCCAAACGTCAAGCAGTGTGCTGCTGTCAACTCACAGAGGCCTGTTAAGCTCATTATCAGTCCCCACTTTTGTTGAGGGTTTAACAGCTATAGCCGTGCTGCTTTATAATAATAGGCTTGTTTTGCCTTCACCAGCATATTCATGTGAATGTTTTCCCCCTGTGTTTAATTTCAGGAGTTGCAGGCCAAGCTGGCAGCCCAGAAACTGTCTGAGGGATTGAAGATCTCTATGGGGAGCTACACTCCTGACAGTGGCCCGATGGCTGCCTACAGAGAGGTTCACGATGAAGGAGCCCAGCTCTCCTCAGAGGAGGACTGATCCTGGAAGGCCGGAGCTGAGGAAACCAGTTTGGCCCCGAGAGAAACAGGCTTTGGGCCTTGCAATCCAGGATTTTCCCTCCAAGGACAAGAACTCTTGAGAGAGGAAAAAGAGTCTTTGCACCGTGTAAAGACATAGTTTGTATCCCAGACTCAGGAAATCGAATGGCGGTTGGAGAAACTAGCTTGCTCAATTGTCATTCAGATGATATCAGGTTCGGTATCGCTGCTGGAATGATCACCTGATCACCTGCAGTTGACTAGGAGTCTTGAATTTACATTTAAAGCATGAATCATCAGGGAAATGTTTCTTACCACTGTCCTGAAACCACTCATTTTCAGCCTGAGAGGGGTGACTATTATAATATGTCAATATAAATATTGGCCTTATACATCAGCAGGTTGAGCAGACTGTTTTGGCACATGGTTGTAAGATTACAGATTTGTTTTGGAAAGAAGGAGGCATTGCGTTTACTCTTAAACTCTTAAATATATCATATAATATATCATTTGCATTGTTGTTCACTGAAAAGGATTAAGAGTGTAATCTAAGACAAAGACGAGTTCTGTGCTTTGTGACTCATCTGAATAAGGAAATATAAAGTAAATTCACGTGAAAATTCTTCCTCCTAACAGAATATTTATATTTTAAACAGTATTGACATTTGGGATATTTTTCACATTCAGATAACATTTCTCCGATGCAGATTATGTACTTTTAAACGTAAATTTAAGTTGTGAGCAATACATAATCTAAACCATCTGGTTATTAGGCGCTATCAGTTTCTAATGACGGGGCCAGCTGCATGCACGGGTTTCTTTAAAGCCGTGAGATGTTGTTGAGCAGGGGTGTGTGACACACTTGATGAGATTAATGTAAGCGTTGTGAAATATTGAAGCTTGATGGCAGAGACATCTGGACCTCGTTGGGATCATGTTGTTGCTGGCAGGCGATGATGGGACGGCAGCCGGCTAATGCAACATGGCAAATACCATTTCTCAACTCAAGCTAATATGTGGGAGATAAGAAGTGCCGGCAACATTCAGCGTCATTCCAAACTGCTTTTCCCATCATTCTTCCAAATCTGGCAGAAGACTACAAGCTATCTTAATTTAAACCTGATTCGGGGAATTTAATAAGGAAGAAATGAGGCCTGTTTTGGGGGAAATGAGGCTGGTTTCATGTAGGTCAGACTCTGGTGATGATGCCCCCTGATAACCTCTGGTCGTTTTTGCCACGCTATTGGGTGTGTGTGTGTGTTTTTTGGGGGGGAAAGGGCATTTGATTGCTGTGTATTTAGACACTATATCTGATGGGCTCCAGAAGGGCCCTGTGGTGACGTCCAATTACAAATACATGAACACGCTCCGCAGAAGATCCTCGTTGCGCTGGGATTAATTACAGCCTACCTTGGTTACATGAATTCAGAGACTGTTACCAATTATGGGGCACATTTTTTCTGTTGCTTTTCTCTGTGGTGTCTGGCGTCAATGCTAACTCTGAACGTATGTTGATGTTGTTGAGGTGGAACCTCAGCACACACACACACACACACATTCTAGTCAAGTTGTCCGTTGATGAGGTTGTTTATATTTTTCAACTTGTATCCCAGGCCTTTGTCTCAGATTAATAAACTCCTCGGGAAGTGGTCTGCAAGTGATTTGCTCCAACTCTTCAGTCCGAAATCACACGTCTCGCGGGAGAAGGAATAATTTGCTGTTTGGGAGGGGAAACTGGAATGTGATTTCAAAACTGCGTCTTCAAAGACTAGTCAGCTCAGCCTTAAATTAGATATACAGTATGATGTATAGACTGGCGTAAAGCACGAGTTAGGCCCTCGGCAGAATGATTGGATTAAATCTGCCAGGTTACGATGTCTGAGGTCATGCTTTTTCCATTCTCTGATGTTTTTGTCATATATTTTTTACGGTACATGAGGAGATGAAATAATGCATCGCATAGCAACTTTCTGCAGATAAGATCTCCTCATCCCAATTAGAACCAGCGCTCCCCCTTCTTTCTGCTCTGGGACCAGTGGTGGAAGAAGTGCTCTGATTTTTTACTTCAGTTAAAGTACCAATAAAACGATGTAAAAGTGATGTATTGCATTCAAAATTTGAGTGTTATCCGCTAAATGTCTGTAAAATGTTTAATGTATGTTTTTTACTTGCTCCGCAGTAAAATCATATCTAACATTATTATAATGCTGATGCAATAACGTCTGAGCACAATTTTACTATAATGATCAATCTCGGGAGTAGTGAGAAGATCGGATGGTAAATGAGGAAGAAACGGTCTGCAACACATTTACATTCCTTTATTAATCATCTCAAATATTTTTGTGAAATATTGGATACATTTAATTCTTTAGGTCTCAGTCGTTTAGGAAAGCAAAACTACTCGTCATTGACTTCGGTTAGTATTTAAAACATATGTTTTTAAAAACGTCTGAGAAAAAAGCTAGAAACTATAGTGGTTGGATGCAGAGCGGAGATATAAACAACATATCGTTCTAAAAGGTTTGGTAGCAGTTTGAAGTAGCAAAAACTGGAAGCAAGTAGCCTTAAAACTGTCTCAGGTACAGCATTCAAGTACTTCAAACTCTGTCTAGAACTGAGACAGAAGACACTTCTCTTTAAACAATTTGAACTTAGTTTTTGTGAATCTTGACATGTGGACGACAAACCTCCCAGCTGGTTGTTCAAAGACAACGCAAGTTATTTGTGTTTTTCTAGAGTGTGAAAACTTAACAAATGTTCCTAATGCAAATGCATCAAGCTGTGAATAAGAAACGTTTGCCTTTTTGTAACTTCAGTGTGTGTGTGTGTGTGTGTGTGTGTGTGTGCTCTCTTGACGCGGCAGCTAGGAAAGTAAATACTTTCCTGACGGGACTGTGCTGAGCTCTCCACTTATCTCAACGTGAAATGTGTGTGTGAGAGGAAGCTCGCACATATTTCATGTCACGACAGCCAGAGGAAGCATGATATGTGGCTGCAACATTCATGAGAGTCCTGCAGTTGACTGCCGATAGGAAAGTATTCTCCGAATGCCGGGTGAATCTCTTGAAGGAAAGAAAAAGACAGAGGTGCCTTGAGCTGAGTGCCGGTTGTAAAAGGCAGTCAAGGGCCAGTGATTTATTGCATTTTTACATTCTTTAGATTAAGTTTTCTGTTTCGTTTGGTTTTACATTCACCAGACACGGCTATCTTATTGCATATGAATGCGGTCAGAACTTTTGTTTGTCTGTTAAATACTGCACTCCAGCACTGGCGTTACAGTGCATTAGAATCAGGCCACTTTCTGTTCATTGTAACCTGAAGTGTTTCACACAGACTTGGATCAGGGTGGTTTGGATGTTTACCACAATTTGGTCGGATTGGAGAAGATTAGTCTTTGCTAAGTAAAATATGGAACTTGTGAACGGTTCTAACATTACTTTTATCTCGCAAGCCCCGTCTCTACAGACATATCACCGACATTTTTTCCAACTAATCTGCTAAATTCTAAATGGATAAAGAAAGTTGCACATACTTCCATATTTGAACTTCATTTGTTATTCATTTTAAACTATTATTGTTGTTGTAAATCAAAATATGCATAAAGTAAATCGTTTTTTGTTTTCCCTCTTGTGCACTGATTCATTAGATAAAAGCGTAGATTTCAACCATGAACTATCTGTCAGCACGGTGAAAGCCTGTGTGGTCACTGGCGGTCACATGCAACGTGTGCTTTTGTTTTTACACATGGTAAACTGTTGAGTGTGAAAATCTCAGCAGCCCCGCTTTATTTCACGCTTTCAAATGTTTAGAGACAAGGCACATTTCTCCCTGGTCCCTGGTAACAACACCGCATGTTTTACATCCTCCTCCGAAGAGCCACCTTGATCTCCATCCACTTTTTAATGAAACGGATTTACGAGGTGTAATCAATAATGAATTACAGCTTTAACTGGGGTTTTCCTTTTGTTTCAGAATAAAAACATGTGCTTATAATAATAATCTGTAAAGAAAAAAAAGTGCACATGTACTCTTTTGATTACAAAACAGCAATCTGTAGTTTTCCACCGAAATGCCCCCCCCCCCCCCCCTTCCCCAATAGTAAAGCTGCTACCGGGCTCAATGCAGGCAGAGTCAACCAATGACATAAGAAGGTCACATCACACACGGTCTGCGTTTCCTTTTCCTTGGGACAGTGTTTACAGTCAAAAGCCATAAAAGACACCGCGAATGGAAAAGGCATTGTATGGATGTAATGAGTTATCCTTGTGTACTCACGTCTCGCAGCAGATGGACTGCATGTTTATCTGATCTCTGGACAGGTAGTGGTTGTAGTCCACCACCTGGGGACAGTAGTGCATCGTTGCTCTCAGCCTGTTCTCACGTCTGCTCTTCAAGCTAGATCTTTTTCTTTCTTTTTTTTAAACGGTTGTTTCACTGACATAACGTCATCACGGCTGTTATTTCTTCAAGTGATGTTTTTAATTTGTTATCGTGCTCGTCACCATGAGACAAGTATAAGGAAAATGTGTTTGAGTCGAAAAGCCATAGTCACAATCTCTGAGGGTATCCGAAGGACCGGCAGCTGTCGGCAGGTATTTGTGACCACGAGATCAGATAATTGTTTTGATTCCAGATAGTGAGTCCGGTGCTTTTCCCAGGTGAGGCCTGAGCCTCACACCTTGTGCTGCTCAATGACAGCAGCTCTCGGCCCGGACACCACATACCCCGCCGCGACGGGAGACCTTACACATTTGATTTGGGTACAAATGTGCTGGAGAAAAACTCCCACATTTCTGCCTGGAAAGCTTTGCATAACAATCCCGAGGCACGAGAAGGAAAGGGCGGACAGAGAAACACGGGGAGAGAGAGAGAGAGAGAAAGGGAGGGGGAGTCGGGGGGGCGTAATGCATGGTGTGGGCCAAGAAGCTGCCAGCATCCCAGCCGCTCCATGTCTGGCCTGGCACAGCATTAAGCGGGCTGTGTTGGGGCCTGTCAAAAGCCCATCATGGCAAAGGAAGCCGTCTCTGTGGGGATGTTGCGGGGGTGCCAGGGCACGGCAGGGGGGAGAAACCAGAGACCCTGCCCAGCAGCTTGGTCATAATGAGGAGGGAAATTATTCTTATTCTTGCATCCGCATTAATGCTACTGCAACAATACACTTTTGTCCCACTTTTTTTTCTCTGCTTGAACATTTTATTCTAAACATTTTCTTTGATTACGAGCGTCGTGTGGCACTGTGTGAAATTTGAGCCATGAATAATTTTAAGAATTTATATATTTAATGCACGAATCTGCTTGTTTTCAGAGAACCTTTCATTTCAGAATCATATATTGTGTGTTCATATATAAAATCCCATTATTGTATAGTTTGTGTACACTTAGATCTGTTCTACTATCTAGCTTTCTTTTTTTATCTTTATTTTTTAATACGTTCTTGTTAATTTGTATATTCTATGTATGTACGTTGAGACCAGTGTATGCATACATGGCCAATAAAGCTGATTCTGATTTTTTTCCAATATACAAGTTGATCTCAGTGTATTGTATTCAGTAAACGCCTTGTTGAAGGATTATAAAACTCTGGATAATGTCAATCGTGGCAATCAAGCAGAGTTTGTTAGAGCCTAATTCCTTGGCCTTTGTTGTTTGTGACATAAATCTAAAGCTGTCCAGAAACAAGGGCGGTCCAAAACAACACAATATTGTTTTTCATTGCTGCTTTAGTGAAATCATGTTCCTTGATTTGAGAATATTCTGACTAACAAGCACCATAAGTTCAGTCATTTCGACTCCTGCCAAAATCATACAAACGTAAGGTTCATAAAAACAATGTTAAAATAAGCGTTTGTGCCGAAAAACTTTTTGGTCTTGCAGGTGTGAAACAGATATGTGTGTTGGTCGGAAATCAATTAAAGCTGAAGGGACAGTTCCCTTCCCTTCCCTTGCCAGACTCTGAATCAGCGTGGTTCTTTCTGGGCAATCCCTAACTGTTGGTGTGCATTGGGTGGTTACGTTTGGCCCCGGCTCTCGTGTCTTACAACAATAGTAAAACTGTGCAGTAAAAAGAAAAAAGCAGAAATCCTCTTCAGTCCGATAATTACGGGGCCTCCATATGAAGGAGTTGGCTCGTTTATGTGCCGTAATCTTGTGACCAATCCGGGCCCCGAGGCCAGGTGTTTTTGATTGCAGCGCGGCTGCGGCCCCCCAGGATGGTTGGATACAACGATGAACCAGAGGAGACTGAGTGGGAATGGGAAGCACAGACTGTTTTCCTTATTTATTTTTTAATGTTTTGTTTTCTCTGAGACAAGCTGTCAGACAGACAGGCAGCTACGCCCTCCTATTAGATGACTTCCGTCACTGTGGAAATATATTCCAGCTGAGATGTAACACTTCAGTGTGCAAACGACAACATTGCGTTTTAAGGATCTGTTTCAGGGCGAAAACCAAAACAGACTAGACACAGCAATGACTTTAAGGTAGCTACACAGACAATCCTCCTCATCGCTCAATATTCAATGAATACTTATACCTTTTATTTCCTGTGAAGCAGCGTTCCACCTCCTCCTTCACTTTTGAAATAGAAATATCAATGAATGGATCTGAGAAGTTATCAAACTACATGTAAAAAAACTAGTTATTGCCACTTGTCAAATTCAAAACAGTGTAATAAATGTATCACATTCTAAAGTATTCTTACCCTCTCTCCATTGATGTTTTCTTTTATTTGATGCAATAAAAGGTTCAGACCCTCTAGTGCTGGATGTAGACTAAAGGAAACTAAATGATTCACTTTTTCATTCTGTCTTTTTCGTTATAGTGCGATAAATATGAACATGCTGTGGAGTAAAAAAAGTTTATTTTTACCATTTGCACTAGAGGAAAGGTGGTAGGTGGGTTTGTATCTCTTTATGTCTTTAGAGCTTAAGGTAAACCCACATTGAAACAGAGTCTGTGGTGTCAGTGGCACCACCACAGTGTACAGCAAAGAGTCCATGTATTTGTGATTGACGTTACAAATGTCCAACCATGTAACCCATCAAATAGGGACATTCTAAACAATTGCACTCCATATGCATTTCCTTTGACGTCTGTGTGATACTGGGCAGGAAACTAATCATTTCTGTTGCGTGTCCAGCGTCACATACGAAGTACCTTGACTAAAGTCATGAAGGCCGTTGGTCTTCCTGTTGCTTTGTCTGCAT